CCAGACGTGTGTGTGTGTGTGTGTGTGTGTGTGTGTGTGTGTGTAAATTTCAGCTGTGATAAAGTTAACAATGCATTGTTGTTGGTTGAGAAAAATCTTTCGTTAAATTGGTTGTTCTGCATCCAAATAATTGAAATAAAAATATAAAGAAAACAAACATTTTAGACAGTTGTTCCCTCAAATAATATATAACAAACAATTTTACAACAAAGTTAAAAATAATAAAATAAAATAACCATCTTGCATTGTTGTTGGTGGTGTAAAATCGTTCACAGTGTAAATTCTTCCTCAAACAATTCTACATCAATTCTGCTACATCAAATAAATGAACTATTAATAATTCTGTTTATTGAAAAGGCATATGCTACAAACAAGACGTACACACTGACTGGCTCTGAGGTGGCATTGTATTTACTAAGAAGAGCCACCAAAAAACTGTATCTAAAGAATCATTTTGCAACAGCAACTCTCTGAATCAAAATACAGTCGAATCGTGAGATGCCTAAAGAGATGCCTGATTCATTTTAAAATCTTCTTGTGCATGTTTCTGGTTCAGAAAAAAGCAAATGTGAAGTAAAAACTCCTCAAAGCCGCTAGCTTATCTTCTAGGATTTGACACACCACCTTCCCTCCGACATGATTTATATTTTATTGTATTTTCCCAGTGGCAGAACTGCATAAGTAGGCATCAGCACTAAGTGTCATACCTGCAGCTGTAACTCTGAAGGCTGTGAGGAGAGGGACTCAATTTCACTGTCAATCACCAGCTCCTGGGAATCCGTCATCGGAGAAGAGGAGGGCGACTGGGAACGCGTGAGTGGCGATGAAGAGATTCTTGAGAGCGGGAAGCCCGTCATGGCGTTCTCGGAGGTGGGATTCTCCACAAACGCACACACTACATACGAGACGCCGGCCTGTTTGGACTCCGGTTCTGCCGGATCGTGCAGTGGGGCTTGGGTGGATTGTGTCGGAAGTTCAAGCTTCCCTATAACAGACGGAGTGGTGTGTCTGCTCTGTGGCATGGTCCCAAATTTAATGACAGTGGGTGGCTGGGGCGACTCCTGGGCTGCCTTTTTCTCCATTAGCTTTTCTCCTGGATTTTCAACCTTCATGGATTGAAAAAGTTGCGTTCCCGACTGCAGAGAGGTCAACGTGAAGGATGTATACAAGCCAGAGTGGATATAGTCATTTCGACTGGACGATTTGGACTGACCAGGTGTTCCTGCACCTCGGTCTGGGGCAGCTTTGCTGTCTTTATCCCTGGAGATGTTTGCAAGTTTGTCGGAAAGGGGCAGAGGTCCGTTTGAGCCGCCGTCTGCACCCTCCATTCTGGCCATGACATCTCCCTTTAGGATATCAGGGTACGATACAAAACGATACACAAACTTCTGCCCGTTTACTTTCTTGATGATGTTCTGCAAGGAAAAAAACGAGAAAAATCATGTTTATTTTAGTTGATGAATGACTTTGTCCTACATACAACTAAAAATATATCTACGCAATCACCCAAACAAATCAACTAAAACATCTCGCATGTACATTTTTACAATCCAGATTGTTGCGTTCTTCTACGCTCTCTCACTTGGACTAAACAAAATAACATGCAATTAAGTAAATGAACCCGTGTTAAGAGACCAGAAAGAATGTGGAAAACGATACTTCTTGCCCTGTGGTGCCAAAATGAGGCTTAAAAAGCTAGCGCACCAAACCCTCGGTTCCCACTCAAGAATAAACTCCTAGCAAAAGGCCATGACTTTCTTACTGCACTAACGGGCTCGGTGACCCTCGTTTCAGTTCAGAGTGACTTGATTGTGTGTTTACAACAACAAAACTGATGGAGGAGTGTGGGGGTGATTAGAGGGCTGAAAGCTAGCAATTATTATAAAACACCGATTTAAATATGAGCACAACTGTGTTTACCAGGTAAATCAGAAAAGCCTGTAAGATCTCATCCAAAAAAAAAAGAAAAATAATTATTTTATAACTTTTAATTACAATCTATAATTATTTTATAATTTATGTTTTTTTATCAAATATTATATTTTTATACCATTTTACATAATTTATTTAGAATTTATCATAATTAGATAATTTATTTGCATATTGTGTAGAACAGTTTAGCAGAGCATTCACACTGCTTTTTCCCCCACATACAATGAAGTGAAATGAACTGAACTGGAACTATCAAGCTCCATAATGACAAATGGAAGAAAAAAAGAAAAACCACATAAAATGGCATAGAAGTTGTCCATACAGTTGTATGTATCTTGTACTGCAGTTATATCTGATCAAATGCACATTATTAATCTTTAGCTTGGGTTGAACAAATCATTTTTGCTTGGTTGGAACAGCAGCTATGCTAAATATGTCTCTTTTTGTTTCTCTGTTTCTGTAGCTAGGATTTACACAAGCTTCAGTCTGGATCCAGAACACCTGAGAAGAGATGATGCCAACCCCTCAGATGATGCCAACCCTGAAACAACATACAGAACTACCAAACTTTGCTATAAGTTTGATTGCATCATATAATAATTGCTGTTAATAGTGTTCATCGTCTGTTTGATTACGTCATTAACGGAATTTTACCGTACATTTCTGCCATATGTTCATCAATTTGACACAGTCACCACTGACAAGCTACTACTAAATATATTATAGAAACGTAATTTTCTGTAAAGCTGCTTTGCAACGATTTGTATCGTGAAAAGCGCTATACAAATAAACTTGAACTGAACTGAACTAAATGACTAAATGTAAATGTAATATAGTCCTATAGATTTAAATTTGTTTATTTTTATGAACTTTTTCATTGATATACAGGTTTATAAGGACAGTTGTCATTAAAAAGTTAATTATTTTGCTTTAAAAAAAGAACATTAGTACTAAACAAACGTATAAAATAACTTTAAACTTATTCAAAGTAATAAAATTAAAATGTTACAATTAACTAACCTAACATCTAACATCTTATAAAACGAAATTAGCACTAGATATTGGCTAAAGTAATCTGAAATCAGGCGGTAAGAAGTGTCATTATCAAATATTGGAAGATAATAATAATAAATCACTAATATCGGCTGATAAACAATGTTGTTCTTATATAAGACAATCAAGGATCTTGGAATCATGGAAGGCATGACTATCTATGAAAACTGAAAAAAAGGTTAGTCTGCTCCTCATAACAAAGTTATCAGCTTTAAAATACTTGGAATATTGATCACAAGTTGTATAGACGACCTTTATGATGGTATTTCGACGAACCCCATCCACATCTTACACATTCTTCAAAACATCAAGAAAGTTTGGACCAACATGAAGGTGAGTGAATGAAATGCTGCTGACTGCTGAGATGTTTCAAATGCTTGCTGACAATACACACCTTGTCGTAGTAGTAACGCAGAGCCCGGCTGAGTTTGTCGTAGTTCATGCTGGGTTTGTTTTTGCGGGCGCCCCATAATCTGGCCACCTCCTCCGCCTGCAACAGTTTGAACTCTCCATCCTCACTGGTCCAGCAGATGAGCTGGTCATTGCTGGGATCCAACAGAAGCTGCAGCAGGAACTGCCACAGGGTGACTGAGCTGTCCATGTCTTCTCTATTCACAGACGTGGGGGGAACGTTACCTAACGGGATCCTGCTCACGCTCACAGCCTGACCGACACGTCACGCCATATTCCGGCGAATATCCTGACAGAGGCTGAAATCAAAATCAAGATGCGATTACATCAATTAGATGGGTGCAAAGAAATGCCACTGAGTGACATGACCAGCATCGACCACTTATTCTACGAGCCTTATATCTTCAAAGACCAAACATAGAGCGTCAACTCAAAAACATGGTAAATATGCGCACCATATTAAATACCAAATGGTACTGGACTTCAGCGTAATCCTGGCAATGCGGAGAGTGCAGGACGACTGTGTGTGTGTAAGCAGCTTAAATTAAAACTAAATCCGTCTTGACTCATCCGATATCCAGCTGGTAGTTGCCAAAGAGAGTGAAAAAAAGTCTCCCACATACTATCTGACAGAACAGAACACACAAATATAGAAACACAGAGGCGAGACGTGACAGCTTTCCCCAGACTGTAGGAGACAACGTCTGGGAATTTTAAACAAAGAGTTCAGGTCAAAATGAACCTAGAAATCATCACCAATTATATAAAGCTCAAAATTGTGGCCTGTTGCATGATGATAGTGTTTGCATACTGTAAACGTGACACTTGTGCATCCTTAATTTAATGGCAAAAATTAGATGCACATTTTGTTTTTGCTTATTTTTCTTTATTTAAGACTTAAATGACCGAAGATTTTTACATAATTAAACTTTAAGTTCAAAACGAACTTAATTTCAGTGTAATGGTGCATGTTGCCATCATATACACCTATCTGGATATTTAATATAAACACTAAATTTACACTTACACCTGAATGGTTTTGATCCTAGATGTCATCTTATAATGACAGATTTCATATTTCCATACAGAATATTATATAAACCTGTAAATTGAGACACACATACCTTTGTTTGAGCTTAACTTAAAATTCCAGGACCAAAGGTTGGCAAAACTCTGACAATAAATCCTAAATGTGTATTTAACCCCAAAAGATCCATGTAAACTCGGATAAAACTTTATATATTGGATATTGTTGTATAGGAGGTAATGCAACCACATTTAACAGCCCAGACGGGTCAAAGTACATCATTTATCATTCGTTTTAGTTTTCAAATTCTTCTACAATACTTAATCGGTTAACAAATTACATAGTGATTGAAAACATACCCGAATGTCCAAAAAAATTTTAAACTGCAACCTGTTAGAACATGAGTTTCGTTCGTTAGCATCGAGCTAATGTCTGTCAAACTCACCCGAGAAGCTTTTTGCTCTCCAGACTCGGTCGGATTCCGACGGATTAAAGCCAAAGATATAAAAGAAAAGAAAAAAATACAGACTGTTTTCTTATATGTTTACATCGTGTAACAAGATTTGGTGGTCAGCTAGCATAGCGTGCTAGTCTGCTAGCTAACGGAGACTTAGCAAACTTTAGACTCATTAAACATGAGCTGATCTAAATTTGACTATTTAAAGCGGTTTTATGACTTATTTACCATGAGAACGACAAAAAAAAAAAAGGCAGAGAAGGAGAAAGGGAAACGCTACAGTCTCTGCATCTCACCTAAGTTACTCATATTTTTAGCTGCAACCACAATAATACAAAAACAGGAAGCAAAAAGCCCACCAGACTAAACACTTTCACCCCAACAGCGCTCAATAAAACTCCAGAACAAAGCCTCAGATTTTATGAATCTGTAAGAAATGAGGTCCATTCAGTTTGAATAGCGTAAAAATCCTCAAGATGCAAGTTTAGCTGCATGAGAAATGCAGTGAAGCCAACAAAGTACAGTGAAAGCATGTAGATCATCTCACGATGGACCGTCTCATTTCATCTATGACCATATTAAAATGCATTACCTATCAATACTGTAAAATGCTACTCCTGGTTCAAAAGAAACTCAAATTGAAATGTTAAAAAGGAAATATTAATTAACACCCATTCAGTTAGATTGCACTTTGACATTTAGATAAGAAATGACAGACAGATGATTGACAGACAGACAGATAGATAAGAGACTTACCCCCGGTTTCACAGACAAGGCTTAAACCTAGTCCCCGTCTAAAATGTAAGTCTGAACTGTTTCAACTGAAAGAAACTTGCACTGATTGATCTTGAAATATGTCGGTGCCCTTGTTTTGTCTCAAGATGCACACCAGTAATGTTTTTTCTAAGGCATGTTTATAAAAATTACTTTAAAATCCTAATTGAACTATGACCTAGACCTGGCTTAAACTAAGCCCCGTCTGTGAAACCGGGCCTATGTGTTCTTTAAATATACAGCAGGACTATATAAGTGGAGCGCAAAATGTAAAAGGAGATTAAACATGATGAAGAGCTCAGAAAAACAAGTTTGAGACATAAAATATAAAATATGACATTCCCCTTATGCCAAAACAAAACGTTTATATCTACATATATCAATTGTCAACAACCCATACACTACATAGCCAAAAGTATGTACACGCCCCCTTCTGATGCAATAGGATCAAAATTTACCACACCCTCCGTGATTTATTTATAACATTGTCTCATTTATACTCATTTGCCACGTGTGTATAAAAGAGTGGCAGAATAAAAGTGTAATTGTAGTCTTCAGCCTTCCAAACAGATTCCATCTCTGCAGAAAAAAACATGAAAAAATAAATGCAGGCACAAGCCCAGGATTCCTGCCATACAAGATCAGTGACTGTCGCTTTTACTCTCCTAAAACATGCACTAACGCCAACAATAAGCATTTGTCAGAATTAAAAGTGCTCAGCATTATAAAGAAAACCATGTGAATTATTAAAGGGGTCATATGATGCTTTTTTAAAGATCATTATTCTGTGTATTTGGTGTAACAGAATATCATAACTCCAAAACAGAAGATTATTTTTGTCGACAGACAATTTTTGACCTCTTCCTCCAGTTTGAAAAAACAAAAATGTCTGTAGTTATATGGGGGGAAACATTCTGGAGGGTTAAAGCAGGAATGTGAAGTTTGCAGTTTTGTTAAAACACAATTAATTCTTACATACAAAAATGTTTAATTAGGCTTTAAAGTCTAAATTGTCTCTTAAATAGGCTGATATGCTTCCAGTTATGCATAAGTGGAATTCTCTTTCTGAAGTCTTTGCACCAATCATTGTTATTGTTACATAAATCTAAAACTACACCAGCAGTTTACCTGAAATAATGCTGAAATAAAATGAAACAAAATAAAATAATGAAAAACCTAAAGTAAAATAGAAATGTTGCCTTTGCAATTAATTGAAATAAAATATGTTGAAGTTGAAGTACTATAATGACTAAAAATAAAACTGAAATACAAATAAATGAAATAAATGTAAATATTGAAACAAAAACGAATTGAATTAAAATTCAAATGAAATTGAAAACCGAAATGAAAATTTGAAATGCAACAAATTTTGAAATGAACAAAAAGTAGAAATACTAACAAAACAAAATAGAAACACAAAAGAACTAAGAATGACAAAAGCATATAAAGTTTAAAATTAAATTAAAATTTAAAATAAAAATAAAAACCTCAAAATAATAATAGTAATACTAAATCGTTGAACAATGCTTTTCATACACTGTCAGAAAAAAAAGAAAGTCACCCGGTTTACTTTCACATGATCGTTACAGGAGTTCAAATATTGGTTAGAATTTGCACAGACTTGGTTAGTATGATTTAACTTGTATTTAACCCAGAACTTTCCTTTAAATAGCCGATTAGACTTTAAACCTTAAAGGTGACATATCACAGCTTTTCCAACAGTTTTTTTTTTTTTTTTTTACTTTATTTTCTTACATAGGAAAATAGCATTTTTCAGTTATTCAAAAATATAACCTAACTTTGACCAGCTATATGGTATGAGAGCAGCTATAGTCGGATGGTCTGTGTAAATGAAAACTGTTAATGCATTAACGTGAAGTTGTAGGTAAAGGAAATAATTTAACGCTTTTATTGGGATGAAGGTGGTGGCAGAAAAATCACGGATGATAATGTTAAAAAGAACCTAAAAAAATAGACATCTCTCTTCAAAAAAAGAGAGAACAAGAAAAAGAAGATCTTACATGACAGTACTAGTCAAAAAAACACTGTAAATCAGGATGCTCTCTGTGCGATATTAAAAATGATGCACCTACGTGATCATTCAGAAACTGCTATAAACTTTAGAGTATTGATAAGTCCAGATACTAAGTATGTAGAGCACCTGATAGTTCATGAAAGCCTACGTGAGCTACTAAGTAGAGCGGGGGGAAAGAATAACGCATAAAGTAGTTAAGACCAGATGTAAAAAGGCAAGATGATGTCAAGGACATTCACTCCATGTGGAAGATTAGCATGACCTTCTCAAAAAAGAAACTCAAGCACAGTCCCATTAATGACAGAGTTGAAGCCTTCAATGACGTATCGGTAAATGATGTCCAGATAGCTTCATTTCGACAGGAAGCGATCAGCTGCCAGTTTTTGTGAACAGTAACACCTGTCCTCAGCGATTTAGCTTATCAACCGTGGCGGCACGAAGTAGAAAAAAATGCATTTATCTAATGCAAAGCACATTACAATGACATAAAGGAAACAATTCTCTTTGTGTGACTACAGATCGAAGAGAAAATTGTTTCTAGCTTATATATGTTTTACAGTACATAAGTTCATCCATACGTGTAGTGATGTTATCCACGGCCCCGTGGAGCCCGGTTTGGCATACGCTCTCAACAGACTGAGAGAGATGAGGCACGAGAAAAAAAACGTGGAAAGCAACTTGATGCATAAATACCTTTCAGCTGGCGCAGGGATGTGATTGGGCCAAGACAATTCCGGACATTTCAACGCGATTGGGTTTGCGCGAGGGGGGAGGGGACTAAAACATTCGAATAAAGTAAAAATGTAAAAACTTAAACGTTTTAAAACACTGTGACATGTCACAAATACCTGCATCGGACCTAATTTTGCATTTCATAAGAATTCCTTTTAAAAGAGCTATACTTCAGAAGGGTAATTTAGTATGAAGAATCTCATACAGAAATGTCAAAATAAAATAATTAAATTCAATAAAATAAAGTTTTTTTCTTTTTTATAGTGTGACATTATTTTCATTACAATTAAGTGCATTTCCACCCCAAATTCTCTGCAAAAACAACAACAACTAATTCTCATGACTGTAACACAGTTATTATCATTTTTTGTTTTGATAACAGAAATCTGTATAATTTATCACTGTCACTGTTGTATTTTAATAACTAATACTTTCATAGTGCACACTTACAATTGTACTTTACAAATTAAATATATATTTGAGTAATATGGTAATTAAATTATTATTTTTTAAATGATAATGAATAAGAATGCGAAGTTTTTGCATTAAAATAATAAAAATGAGAGGTTTTTGCATGGCTGCTGGTTATTTTGAGAATTAAATATACTTAACAGTAATAAAAAAACAATGTCACAACGTATGCAACATACAAGTAAAACATTCTTTTTTTGTTTTGGATAAAATAGGACTAAATATTGCATTTTTCTTCAGATTCGCCCTGACAGAGGCCATGTTTGATAATGCATAATATCATAGCCTAAATCATAGTGCATATTGTCTTAATTTAAGGAAAATTCTGCCGCATTCTTGCTTCAGTTAACGTGCTAGAGCCGACCAAAATACTGTTTTCCTTGTATATTTTCATCTATAACACAATAGTCACAAACTGTACAGGAAATACGTTTCTTCAAATTATACTCCGTATTGCCCTTTAGATCTCCAGACTTCCTGCAACCTGGTTTAAAGGCAATAAGAATAGATCTCGAAAGCTGTTGCAGCTCAACCTGTAGCTTTACACCAGCGAAGGACGAAACGTGATGAAATCGATTGTGAGCTTCTACTTCAGCCCTCCAAAAAAAGCCAGAAATCTGCTTTGAGCTTAACAATCACATCCCTGAGTTTCAAGTTAGCTGACTGTAGCACCAAGATAAACAAACATCTGGATAAAAAAATGGGGGAGGAAACAGAGACAAAAATGAAGGCGGAGGGTTACAGCTTCGATATCATAGCTTTCCCTCTCAGACTCCAGGAATCACACTCCAGGTTTATCCGGGGATCAGACGTTTGCCCTGACTAGTCTGCCGGCACGAGGACCCCGGTGCACCTTGGTGTGTTTGGACAGGTGGTCGCTCCTGGCAAACTTTTTGTCGCACATTGTGCACTCATAAGGCTTGACTCCCGAGTGAGACCGCCGATGGCGAGACAGCTCATCAGAGCGAGAGAACCTTTAAAGCACAAAACACAGCAGGACATACACATCAGCTCACAACTCTGGAAATAAATCATTAAGGTTAAATTATACCATTGAGGTTAAACAGCTCAACCTATTCACAAGGTTCCCACACTATTCCACTAATACGTACATTTCTACGACTTGCTCTCATGAGATTCTATCATTTTTTAAAAATCATTTTATAGAAATTGCTCTCACAAAAAGATATTTCTAGACACTCAAATATTTTGAGCATTGCTTTTTTCCTTATTCTTTATGAACCACACTTCTGTTCTAAACATTTTTTGAAAGAAATTAATACCTCAATTCAGCAAGGACACTTTAAATTGATCAAAAGTGACGATAAAGACATTTATATAATGTCTGTCACAAAAGATTTCTATTTCAAATAAATGCTGTTCTTCTGAACTTTCTATTATTCAAAGAATCCTGAAAAAAAAATGTATCAGGTTTCTACAAAAATATTAACAATGTTTTAACATTGATAATAATTATAAATGTTTCTTGAGCAGCAAACCAGCATATTAGAATGATTTCTGAATGTGACACTGAAGACTGGAATAATGATGCTGAAAATTCAGCTTTGCATCACAGCAATAAATGACATTTTAAAAGAAAACAGTTATTTTATTTTGAATTGTAATATTTCACAATATGGCTGTTTTTACCATATTTTTGGTAAGCATAAGACATATCTTCTAAAAATATTTAAAAATCTTGTTTATTAACAATGGCTTGTATGGCCTAGATCACATCAGCCAACCAGAAAAGTTGTTTCAGAGATGGAGCAGATTTTTATGAAAGATTATGAAGAAATATTTTTGTGCACCAATGAATTTTACACAATTAGAGCAATTATATTTATAGTTGAACTGAATTAGCTTCATAACTAATTAACTTTGCAACATTCACACTGTTACTGAACTAATTTGAATCATGAATGACACTATTGTCTTTTTAGAGCTGCTGAAATTGTATTCATTTCATTTCATAACTGAAGAACTTTGCAACTTTAATACTCTTTCTTATTTATTACTGAGAAGCTGCTTTGAAACAATCTGTATGGTACAAAAGGCTATACGAGATCATGTGACTTGACTATTACAGGAGCAAATAGGATCAGTTTTAATGTGGTTATCATCACTGACAGACATCTCACATTCATGTTGATTATTTTCATGAATAAAAGTCCAGTTTCAGTGCTCACCTCCACCCACAGTCTGGCCAGCTGCACAGGTAGGGTTTCTCTCCCGTGTGTCTGCGGAAATGAGCCTTCAGGTGGCTGCTCTTGGTGTACATCTTCTCGCACCCGGGGTGAGAGCATTTATGTACCCGCAAGGTTTCTGTGGAGGTCCTGGATGGACGTGGAGTGATGGCTTTGACCAGGCCTGTGCCCGCTATTCCGACCGCCCTGACGGCAATAGGCAGGGGAGCGATCTTCACATACTTTTGGTCTTGGTTGACGGCCTCGCCCACAATGGGGAGGAGAGTTGCTGAGGGCACCTGCGGTGAAAGAAGGGTAATGTTCTGTGCCCCTTGGACACCGAGCAGCAGATGGGCCACCCGGAGCCCGTTGGCCACACCCGATTGGGCGTCTGGCTGTGGGAGGGCGTGGCTTAGCTGGAGAGGTTGTAATTGAAGCACAAACGGAGCACCGACGAGCACCGGCGCGGCACTAGCTGTGGTGTTAACACTCTGAGCGGCAGGAGGCGTTGTGGTCGGGCTGGATTTCGGCTCTGCGTCACCGGGGGAAGCCGGCTGTATGGGAGGCTCATCCTCCTTTGACTTTTCCTCCGGACTCAGAGGAGCATCACTCAGAAGCTCCATCTTCTCCATCAAGAACTCCTCAATGTCCTCCAGGGTTGGAGAGAAGGTGCTGGAGAGCTCGGGTATAAAATCAGGCAAGTGTTTGGACAATTTTTTATTTGTAACTTAATTCAAACATCCAATAAAAATCACCTGGTTACAAAATGGCTCATTAAAGTTAAGTCAGGTCTGTATTTAGTTAGGTTAGCATACACTTGGTGTCATGTTTTGATCTGACGCAATGAAAAATGCACTTTAAGTGTCCAAATAGTTCTGGAGCCAATATTTACATGAGCCCATGCTCATCATTACAACGCGTCCAGAGATTAAAGTACCGAGGTTTACGGGCTAGAAAGAGGAGGGGCTGTTCAAAACACCATCACAACACAAATCACCACCACAAAATAAATCACAGTGCACACTAAACCAATTACAAGAGAAACGACATAATCAAACTTGCATAAACACTGCACCGATGCTCAACTACAGCACACACACGAGGCACTAGACATGTGTTTCACAAAAGTGCGTCAGCAGGGCAGGAACACAGGCCTGCACACATGCTCTCAACACACAGCCAAGCAAAACTGCCGCTTTTGCACAACACGGCCACAACCTTCCCAGAAACAGGTGTCAAGTTCAACAAAGTGGGGTCATTTTGATCGAATCTGACCCCCTGTTTAAAAATCGACTTCGGTTTGCTTTATCGAACGTAAAACGATATATGCATGCCTAATTACCTCGTGTAAATATGGATTGAAATGTCCGGATTGTGGATGTATGACATAGGATGAATCCAGGTGTCCCTTTCAATGTTATTGTTGGGAAGAACATCGTCCTTGCCACGATTCCATGTTGGCATTTCTCTCAGAGGCCTGTCACATGACACGCATCGCATCGCACTCGAGGGCACGGATCCGATTCCTCGCTTCTGATTGGTTGCGTGGCGGGGGCTCGCCCCAAAACGAGTTACGTCATTGGAGTAAAAGGAGTCATGAATTATTTATAAGAATAGGAAAAACATCCAACGAGAGCAAAAAAAAAAAAATCAGGTCTTGATGCATTTCTTGACTGTTTTGCATGCAGCATTTACAAGCAAAATTCAAACCCGAATTATGTTCCAGAGCCATAAAAATAAAACTGTTTTAAATGCATCCATAATTATAATATAAAATAATAAAATTTTTATTTTTCGAAAATGCAACATCCAAATTGTTATTTCAAGAAAATTTTGATGAAATGTTTGAAAGTTGAATGATACATTTTATAATTAAAAAAATATATAGTTATCATAAATATCACGAAAATACTTCTATTTACTGCTACCTAGTTTTCCTCTGCTTTTGTTTATTTATTTATTTGTTTATGTATTTGTTTGTTTAATTATTTATATATTCATATTGTCACAGAAAAAAATACAAAATCATTTTGATTCATAAAGTGTATTTATTTATTATGATTAATAAATTGGTCAAAAAACAATAATTGAAAGAAAATGAAAAAAGAAAGAAAAACATGGAAATATAAGAGAACTGAGTGAATGATGGAGCAATTGCGGGTAAATATGTCTGTGTTGACTACAAAAAATGAAAGCAGCTGCTATAGAGACACTAGGTGGCAGTAGTTGATAAAGAACTGCCTGTTGCCACCCATCATAAGTCAAGAGGTGGCCGGCTATGGCTAAAAATTGTATTATGCTAGTCCTTACATAGCCAGACCTCAATTATAAAATGCAGTATAAGTTTATTAGATTTTACTTCAATTAATATAGTTGCAAATAGCTTTTATCTTTTAGATTAAGGTGCTAAAAGATAGCAACATTGGGCTATATCTTAGAACCAAAACAAAAAGTTTCCTAAATATACACAAATTCTTTGAAATTAAATGCTATGCATAGAATTATGTGTCTGCCAACTCAAACATGTGTTATTAAATAAAATAAATCATTAAGACATGCAGTTTAGACTTTTGTTTCTCCAGCACAATAATACAGAAAAGAATAACCAGCAAGTCTTCAGCCATGTTCTTTTCTTTCTTTAACAGGTTGTACAGAGTTGTGTCACAATATTCAAAACCCAAAACTCACTCATCTTCACTTTAAACATTCAGCATGTCATCTAACACTTCATTGTTACTTGTGTAATTGCTCTCCTTAACAGGTACACAATTGTGCAATATTGCAAATATAATATTGTAAGCCACAGGTTACGTAACAATAGTTCTGTCAAATAATTTAAAGCTCAAATAGAGCTTTTTATGTGAATGTATGACCATATATTGTTTGCTGAATATATACAGCAAATGTTTTTTTCTAATAAATGACCTGTATGAATTCAATTGCACATTGCCATCTCTCTTTTCAAAAATACAAAACAGAAGCAGCTGCCCTTTATAGTTTTTGTCACTATCCAGAGTCTGTTGCTCTGTTGGTAACATCTCAGTCATCTCGTATCAATATCCGCTTTCTCAAAGACGATCTTACTGGAGAAATACACAGCCACCAGACTCAACAGAGACGCACAGGCCATGTATGCGGTCACACTCTGGAAGAGCTGCACGATTGAGCCCATAAAGAAGGACGGGACCACCTGAGACAGCAAGTAGGCACTGTCTAAAATGGCGATGTCTGTGCCCATGCCTCTGACGGCTGAAGGTTGTGGCTCCAAGGTGATGGACACATGCAGATCAAGTGATTGTGAGTTTTTTATATTGCTCTGGAAGGCTGGATAGCCATTGACGCACCCATTAGTTATTTTCTGCTTAGTCGAGGGCGGCATCTCTGATCTGATTAACATTAGATCTTCCTCCCTGAGAGGAATTTTGCGCCTCTCGGTGGAGAAAAACACCTAGAAATTGAGAAGTGCAGCTGGTTAGGATAAAAACATTAACGTGGACGTTATACAAACGCATTATGTTTTGTTTGGAGTCATTACCTGTGTATTTGAGTGGTACAGGCATGTGAGCGTGTATGGCAGAATCTGCAGGGTGCAGAAGGTGTATCCTGTAGCAGCGGCCATGATGGTGACTAGTATAATGTTGTGGGATACAGTCATAATTGCAGTACTCACAGCCAGCAGAATCACGCTGCTCAGGTACAGCTTTCTGACTCCAATACACAACACCATACGCTCCATAAGCAATGAGAAGATCACAGAGGTCACACACTGGAGGAAAAGACCCAGGCTGGCCATTCGCACACCTGGAGTGACATAAAAATAACACAAAAATATTTAGATTCCATATATAAACTATTACGCCAGGCTACAGTGTCATGTGATCCTTCAGAAATCATGCTAATATACTGATTTGCTGCTGAAAAAAAAAAATTCTTATTATCATCAATTTTGAAAACAGTTGTGCTGCTTATATTTATTTATTTATGGAATGTTTTTCAGGATTCTTTAATGAATTGCAAGTACAAAAGAACATTATTTATTTACCATTATTAATGTCTTTACTATCACTTAACACTTAACTACTATCACGTAATCAGTATTGGCTGAAGTATTGACTTTCTTGCGGAAATAAATTATTCAAAATAGTAAATGATGTTTATCTGAAAGTGTAACAATGCAAACAGGTTTTCTGTAAGGGATAGGTTTAGGGTTAGGGGATAGAAAATATTGTTTGGTCAGTATAAAAGTAATAGAAGTCTATGGAAAGTCCCCACAATTCACAGAAACAAATGTGTGTGTGTGTTATGAATATATTTACTTTTATTAGCTCAGCAACATGCTAACACTAACAGAAATAAATGAACTGTGAGTATAGTCTCATCTTGAATATAAACATATTTTGTTTTACTGCACTGGTAGAGATTTTTTTCCAAACTTTTGTTGTTTAAATGTAAAACAAGTGAAGAAAAAATTGCAAGTGCAGTAAGACGACATACACTCTTATTAAATATACACTCTCAGGAAAAAAGGTACAAAAGCTGTGACTGGTGTGTACCTTTTTTACCCCTAAAAGGTACTGCCCCCGTGACAGCTTTTGTACCTTTTTGTCTGAGAGTTCATTGCATTCCCTTAAAACAGGTTATATGATATGCAGTGTTGCTTCTCATATAAATTTATCTTGTTTTAAGTATTTTTTAGATATCTTTTTCTGTAAATATTACAGATAAACCTGCACCTTCATCATAGCGTATCCTTCCCAAGGAGCCTGGCTCATCACTGGGAACCCCATTATACAATCCCTCTCCAACAAAGTCCGTGTAGAAGAGCATAAAGGACATAAGTGCCATCCAACTGCACAACTCAGCGACAAACAGCCTTGCAATGACTTTTGGCATGCGACTGCACAGCAAGTAGAGTCGGGGAACCACAGAAAGGAGACTAGAGAACGTCCTTCGCAAAAACAGAAATCTGGGGAATGCCACACAAGGGCAGCAGCAAGTCTTCAGGTTTTCATGCCTTTTGGAAACCTCAGCTTCCCCCAGCCGTTCTCGTCCTGTCTGCTCCTCAGAGATGAAGGCCATACCCATCAAACAGGCGAGAAAAATGAAGGTCAGAACAACGTAGATGAAGGCCTCTTGTCCACCCAAGTAGACCACGGTATCTGAAGTGGTCCAGTCAACTGCGGGCAGCAGGTAACCAATGCATCCGCCCAAACTGAGCATGAGGGAGTAGACGGAGAAAGCCTTGCGACTCTCCTCTTCTCCAGGAAAGAGGTCAGAAACCAAGGCCTCCAAAGGTGTGAAGCAGGCCTGACCACAAAATTCCATCAAACAAATGGCAAGGACCAGCAGTGGGACCTCCAGCCAATGCCGCTGTTGTTTTGTGAGCAGGGTGACGAGTGTGGACGTCTGCTGGATGATCAAGAGACCGAGCAGGACACCCATGCACAACACCCATATGAAGGGACGTCTGCGACCATATTTACTTCTCAAGCTATCACTCGCCGAACCAATTAGAGGCACAACGATCAGCCCCAGCACAGGTCCCACAGCTGAAATAAAACAAAAAAATCATAAAACATCAAATATAAATTCACTCTGGATGTCAGTTTCTGCTAAATGTATATCGTATGGCACTATTTTTCTTCTGTAAAAACGTTATACAATACAGTACAATTTAATTTATTTAATTTCATTACAATACCCTATATTAAATTACTGAATCATTTTATTTATTGAATACTTTATAATTAATTACTGAAAAAACGACATAGTATTATAATATTTTTTAAATGATACAGCTGTCTTTACCGAAAAGAGGCCCCTCACAAGGAGATCAACATAGGCCTATTTGGGTGTCCTTGGCAATAAAAAGTTTAAAAACCCAAGAGATGGAAATGACGATGCATTGACGTGGAATTTGCGGCTCAGTAAGTGAGTCAAATGTAACCATAACTATGTGAACTTGATGTAGGTTACGCAATCTTGACGGAATTGAACAGTTCCCATATTAAAATGCGTCGCGTGTTTCAGTAACCAGTCTGGCGGATTTGATTCATTTTAGTTCACTTAGTAAAAGATTCGTCAGACGGATTTGCCAGTTTGGTTCAAAACAAAAGAACCGGCTCATTAGAGTCATCTGTTCATGAATCGAACAACGCACGTGTCGCTATATATATAGCCAGTGTTGCCAATTTAGCAATTTTGTTGCTAAATTAAGCAACTTTTCACACTACACTAGCAACTTTTTCTTCCAAAAGCACCTAGCAACAAATTTAGCTATTTTTACATTTTATTTGGCTGCTTTTAGCAACTTTTGATAAGTGACTCAAACGATAAAAAGGCACACATTTTCCATCTAAATTACACAAAATGAGTAAACCAAAGATGCCTAGCAGTACACACATCACATGAATTAAGTTAGCTGCTATTAGCAATTGCTCAATTTAATAATAATAATTGAATAATTGTTAATTTATGATACACCTTGTTAGTAGCTTGTACCAGCGATTGTTGATCAGTTAGTACACTGTAAGAAAAATATCTAGAAAAATGGAAAAGGTACTAGTAATTTTCCAGGACATTATCCATTCTCCATTATTCATTATCCATTGTAACCCGAAAACACAAAATACAATGCGTAATTTAAAATGCAGGTAAAAAACCTGTGAAAAATCAATAAGGAAAATTCCTTCATATTAACATAGTAGATTGTGCCCTAGTTTACTAGCTAATAAAAAAAACTTAAATTGTAAGCCCTAATTGTTCAAAAATGTGTAAGTGTTCAATAATTCAATGTTGTATTTAAAAATACAGTTATTTATATTTTAATATTATATTACGTTATATTATTTTACAAACAAATCTAAATGAACATATATAAAATATTTTTTTGCTGAGATTTGATGTTGTGACAATTTTGCGTCATAATTACGTAATGATGTCATCGTGTAATGACATCAGAACATCATTTAGCAACAAATTGACCTTCCTTTAGCAACTTCCCCTGAAAATTAGTTGGCAACACTGTATATAGCTATATGTTATGTTTGTTTTTACGTCAACGTTCAAGGAGCGTTGAATAGCGTGAATAGCGCTTTTGGAAACACGGCGACACACCTTCTTGCGTCATGTCAGATACATGTATATGTCCTTTAAGGAACTTGTTATCTGTGTTTGACAACTCATATTTGACATATTTCTGATATAGTATGAACGCAGAAGCATTCTCAGTCTTTGCGCAAATCACGTATTTCTACACGTGCCCGCCATTTCAAAACCTTGGAGCTCACCAGAAGCCATTCCAACACCTTCAAAATGTTTGGTTTTCAGTCCAGAATCTTTAATAGGCTAACTAGGCCACACCACTGACCTCTAAAAAAAATAACTTTTGAAAATGACCTCTTTTGAAGTGACTTACCCAGTACCATGGTCATGAATCGTTCTTCCACCCCTGCCTCCAGCAGCATAGGTGGGATGTAGATGGTCCCAGCAGCCAAACATACCTCCAGACCACATGTTAATGTATTAATCAAGAACAACTGCGAGATCCTGCCATGCATGTCCAGGTTATCCACTCTTCACCTCTTCAAACTCTGCAGTGATGAAAGAAGCTGTTTAGCCATACTGGAATATTCTTACATTGAAGCATATATCCAACTTTATGACGTCTGTTAGGCTACATGCTCTTGCTCACACAAAGCTACCAAACAGATTCAGAAGACTCTAAATATTGTGAATCATATGGTCCTTTTCGGATTTGTCTATTTGCCGTTTACTTGAGCATCTTTACTTGAGTATGTATGCCAACCAGCTTCCTATGTTTCAGTCTTGTGATTATGAGCGTTGACACCAGGATGTGTGACAGAATATTACACCCCTTTAGTCAACTTAGTGTTTGTTTAGGACTATAAAATAATGATGAGTTTCTTAGCACTCAGCTGATGATCTTTGACTTTAGCTGTGAGGAACACTAGGCTATGTACTGATCACCGTACATCAATTAGCTTTATGATTGAACACGGTCGTAATTGTTATGAAAAATGTAAAAAGCATGACAATAAACAAAAAATGGCATATGTAGCAATCATTTCTGCAGTGTAGGCAATTTCTTTGCCAGTTTCAGTTTAGCTTTGCTTGTGACTTCTGGAAGGCCGCTGGTTTTATTTCTCAGATCTTTCCAGTATAACAGACTCATGGAATATTTGGCCATGGTTTGGAGAAATTTGAGTTGCCTGTTCAGTCCATGCTGACGTGAATCACAAAAGTGTTCGAATGACGCGTGTCTGTATTTAGTCCATTTAGCAAAATGAAAATCTCCTGTTTCACTTAATAAGTGAATCTCACTAAAGCTGTTAAGTACAAGGAAATGAAGCATGCTTTTTTTGGTCCATTAAAGGGGTCATATGATGCTGCTAAAAAGAACATTATTTTGTGTATTTGGTGTAATGAAATGTGTTTATGCGGTTTAAAGTTAAAAAAACACATTATTTTCCACATACTGTACATGAGTTTTTACGCTGTGACATTACTTTCATGACAATTAAGAACAGAGATCTCATTATTGTTATTAAGTATTCATACATTTTGGCAGAATCTGTTGTACTGCTTACACACACATATATATATATATATATATATATATATTGTTGATGTTAGCACACTATTTGCATTTTACTGAACTAAATCTGTTGATTTAGTTGCCTGATTTGTATACAGTACTTTTGGGGTTATTAGTTATTTTTTTATATTAATATTACGTTTTAATATATTTTTTATCCTTTTGTTAATTGCTGCATTAAATTGACCAAAAATGACAGAAAAGACATACAAAAAGTTACTTTTGTTACTTTCAGTACATAAAAACAATAAACAGCACAACTGCTTGCAACATTGATAACAATAAAAAAAAAAAAATGTTTTTTTTTTTAGCAGCAAATCAGCATATTAGAATAATTTTTAAAGGATCATGTGACTCTGAAGACTGGAGTAATGATCACAGGAATAAATTACATTTTAAAAGAAATTACAATGGAAAAGTTATTTTAAATTGTAATATTTCATAATATTACTGTTTTTACTGTATTTTAAACTATTTTTAAAAACTCAATATTTTTAATCAAATAAATGCAACCTTGGTGAGCATACTTCTTTTAAAAGCATTGACAAATTTTACCCAAACCTTTTCTATGTTAGTGTATATTCTTAAAAAATGCATCATTCATAACTTTAAATATGACTACATTATGCACAGAAATACTGTGAGGTCACTTAAGTTCAAAACCTTCTTGTGAATATTAATTGTTCATTGACAGTAACCGCTAACTTCCTCATGTCACAGCGCGTTGACATATTATTGGGAAGTAAGGAGAAACGTCTTTAGGCGCAACATGCGCAAAAACATTTGAATTGAACTCTTAGGAGTGACACTCTTTTATTTCGCTGTCAACCACATACACTGGACTCCTGCCTCAGCTGAGAGTACAAAGTCTTAAGCATAACCGGAGTTGAACATAACTGAGCCATGAAAAGGTTTTAGACAGGAAAAAGCACTGAAGCGCGTCACATCTTACCTGATGCTGCCTCTGACAGGGAACTTCAGGTCCTGGAAAATATTTTGTTTCTTAAATTGACATTCTGTATGTATGAATACACCTGTTTTAGGATAAATTTAACAAGCATTTTAATATTTAAATAACATTATTTGAACCAAATGATTAAAAGTATTATTTTTACTGGTCTGTAAAGGAATACAACTAATCATCAATATTTCCCCAGTTATACATGACATTTAAAACCAAAAAATTAAAACTATAATAAACAACAATAATATAAAGACAGTGATCTATTTTATAAAGTTATGGTTTTACAGCCACAGGTGCATCATCAGCTACACATGAGCAATTATTCTGTTACAAAAAAAAAAAAACCTTGACAGAAAACAACATTTGAGATACTTGCATTTCATTTCCATCTGTAAGTGTCAGCTGGAGTGATGTGGTCTCCTGTGGCTTTACTGATTCCCATGTGAATGTGTAGAAAGTGCAGTGACATCAGTAGAAGTTTGAGGAGCTGTTCCAGGAGCGCAGCAGGAAGTGGGCGGGATGAGCTGTGAGAACACACACGTCTGAAAGCCACATCACAGAGACTCTACTCGATCTTCAACATTCTTGCTGGGTTTGCAGCAGATCATGAATTAAAGCCATTTAAGTCCAGCACAACAGGTGTGCCTGCTTTTATAGAGTAATTTCCTTTAATGGATTATTTACAGTAAATGGGATGTGAAGATTTACTCTTGAGAGTTTGTGAGGGGATAGACGACAGGAAAACTATCTACTGTATCTATCTATCTATCTATCTATCCGTCCGTCCGTCCGTCTTCTATCTATCTGTCTGTCTGTCTTCTATATCTGTCTGTCTTCTATCTATCTATCTATCTATCTATCTATCTTCTATATCTGTTTGTCTTCTATCTATCTATCTATCTATCTATCTGTCTTCTATATCTGTCTGTCTTCTATCTATCTATCTATCTATCTATCTGTCTGTCTTCTATCTATCTATCTGTCTGTCTTCTATCTTTCTATCTATCTATCTGTCTGTCTGTCTGTCCATCCGTCTCTCTTCTATCTATCTATCTATCTATCTATCTGTCTGTCTGTCTGTCTGTCTATCTATCTATCTGTCTGTCTGTCTGTCTTCTATCTATCTATCTGTCTGTCTGTCTGTCTGTCTATCGTCTATCTATCTATCTATCTATCTATCTGTCTGTCTGTCTTCTATCTTTCTATCTATCTGTCTATCCATCCGTCTGTCTTCTATCTTTCTATCTATCTGTCTATCTATCTATCTGTCTGTCTGTCTGTCTATCTGTCTGTCTGTCTGTCTGTCTTCTATCTATCTATCTGTCTATCTATCTGTCTTCTATCTATCTATCTATCTATCTATCTGTCTTCTATCTATCTATCTGTCTGTCTTCTATATCTGTCTTCTATCTATCTATCTATCTGTCTGTCTGTCCATCCGTCTGTCTTCTATCTGTCTGTCTGTCTATCTTCTATCTATCTATCTGTCTGTCTGTCTTCTATCTATCTGTCTGTCTGTCTGTCTATCTATCTATCTGTCTGT